ATGCTGCTTGGCCTGCTGTGTTCATCCAGCCCTGCACCTTGTTGTCTTAATTATACTTAGTGTTATTAGCAGATTAGCAATTTTCTTTTTAACTGCTTGAGTAAATCCAAAGCTCTCCTTCCTGTCTCTATTTTTATCAGCTGCCCAGGGAAAAGTACATGAAACAGTCAGCAACGCAGAACAAAAGACACTATGAGCAACAGAATGAGAGAGTCCAAGGATAACAGGCTTTTAGGGAGGGCGGGAAAACGCCTGGCATTGTGAATGGGAAGTGGTGAGCAAACGCAGACATATAGAAACTGCTGGAAAAAGCATGGAGAGAAAGAATAATAGTACAGGGGAAAGCAGAGAGGAATCAGAAGTGTTGCGGGTTTGTGGACATTGAAGTAGAGCTGTGGTGATCTTTAACATGCACCCAGGATGGCAAATGGGTCTTCCTTTTAACATCTGACAGATGGCACCTCTGACACTGCAGCAGTACCTCAGGTGTGTCAGCGTATGTTTTGTGTTCCAGTCTTTGCTGAATCCATATCTTTCTGGCTCAGAAGTGAGTGTATTAACTGAGCCATTGTGGACACCTGCAGTACAACAAGCTCAATGTGGGTAAAAGGGCTTCATGGGTTAATTATCACAGACAGTAAAGCTTGTGCCAGAGAAAGAGAAACAGAAAGAACAACAACTTGTTTTATGAAAACAACTCTGCACTGAACAAATAGCTGAACAGGAGAGCGAGCTGGTGTAGAAGGAATGGTATTCCCATACGTAATAGATCCTTGAACCTATTACCTTCTGACTCAGAGAGCTACTCACTGAGACTATGATTAAGATTTGAAAGGAGAAGGAGTGAATCATTGGCATAGTTACTAGTGGTGGGAGTGAGAGAGGGAAAAATAGAGAGAGGGAGTGATGAGTGACACTAATTGTTGGGGAAGCGGGTTGTACCCTATGTGAGAGCAGATGGAGAGCGCGCTGCTGTGGGCTTTGACACAGTTCACAAACTGTCACTGAACCTATGGTGAGCAGTAAACTGACACAAATAAAGCTGAACATGAAGCCAGGAGAGTGCCACTCGATGACTGTACTAAAGAACATATCTCCTCAGTCTCAGGTGCTGAGTAATTCTTACAACAAGGGATGAGCCAGGGGCTGTGTTGTTTAGCAAGTGACAGTCCAGCAGGAATTTGCTTTATTTGTCCCAGGCTCACAAATAGCTCTGACCCCAATCACAGTGAAATAATAGACCCAACACAGAAGAGAATTTCACCTTTTTGACCTTTCAGGGACTAAGTGTTTGGATTTAAAGGAATTAGTCAGGTTTCAAACCCCTGGCTCTTCACAGGTTGCTCCATTCCCTACTCCCACTTCAGTAAATCTTATGTTAATTCCATTCATGTCTATGTTTGGTATATCTATTTAAAATGGAATGTGTTCCATTTGTATCACTGTATTCAAACAACGCAAGGTCTGATACAGCATAGGGTTAGATATAGAGTAAAGCTCTTTCTACACTGTACCCATCAAACACTCCCAGGTCAGGGACAGCACAGTGTTAGATATAGAGAAAAGCTCCCTCTACATTCCCATCAAAATACTCCCAGGGCCCCCTTCGCAGAATGCGTGGTGAGACTAGAACTAAGAATGAAAGAGACATAAAAGGTTCAAAGTGCTAAAATTTAGTTCCCACTGTGTAAACTTTTGCTCCTTTGCCCAATGTTTTAAGGCTACATTTTGACTCAGACTGTCTCAGGTCCTACAAAAAATTCTGGTCTCACAATCCTCTCTGACAGCGTAGTGAGGTAATACCAAACTTGTTTGAAATGCTAGTCAAGATGTTATGTTGAACTATCGTAGAATGTTAGTTAGAACAGGCTTGGAGTTAATGTGCCCAGGTCTAAAGCCAATATTATAACAATGACATTGAGGCACTACAATGACATTGTAGTACAAAGCAGGATTCACAAGGAGGATTCCTTCATTCAAAGCATAAACTGATCAGTGAACACCAAACATTCTGGAGCCTTTTTCTCTCAAAGTAACTGTGAGGTGACCTGATAGTCTTTAAGATTATGTAAGGTTTGGTTTAGGCTGGATGGGGAGAAGATGTTTTCATTGGAAGACCTGGTGTCATACACAGAAGATTAATCAGTAATAAATACAGTCTGCCCCTCTCCCTCACCTTTGATGGTCTGCATTGCCCTCAATAAATTATTCAGTGAGAGAACATGGGTGATTTACTGATGGTGGCTAACATGAAAATAAAGTATTGCAGGTGATTTGGTGATGGGGGAGAAAATGTTCAGCTGTGTATAAGAGCATTTCAAGATATTGAAATAAAAAAAGAAAAATAAAAAAAAATCCAGCCAGGAGGACTCTTGTGGTGCAGCGATAGTGTCCCTACTTGTAAACCAGAAGTCTCACCTGCTTCAGGGAGGCGTACAAGGTCTCTGATATGGTTGATTAGAAAATATCTAGTTAACTATAAAAGAAAAAAAAAATCTAGTCGGGGCCCCTTGTGGTGCTGTGGTAATGTCACTGTCTCTAGATGAGAAGGCCCGGGTTAAAGTCCTAGATGCTCCAAAGCTATGCCATAACAGTAAAATAAAACAAAGAACTGCGGATGGTGGAGATCTGAAACAAAAGCAAAAACAAAAATTGCTGGAGAAACTCTGCAGATCTGGTAGCATCTGCAGAGGGAAAGCAGAGTTAACGTTTCGAGTCTGGTTCTGAAGAAGGGTCACTGGGCCTGAAGTTGTAACTCCGCTTTATTCCCACAGCTTCTACCAGACCTACTGAGTTTCTCCAGCATTTTCAGTTTGTTAAGAGGTTGCTTAAAAATGAAATCCAGTCAGGGAGGGTGCCAGCCACGGGGGGCGTGGACCAGACTGGTGAATGTGCCGAGTGCTGGGAGGCCTGGGCTGGATGTTGCTCCTGGAACTCCGTGAGCAGCAAGTGCTGGATGTTCAGCTTGCAGGTGAGGCCCTCTGCAGTGATTGTAATGAGGTCAGCAAGGTGGACCTCCTTGAATGAGTTCCCTGATTGGAGCTGTTAATCTGGTCCAATCAGAGAGCCCGGGCTGACAGATAGAAACAGGAATTGTCAGGGATTCTGTTCAACTCGAGAGAGCTGGATGAGTGGATCAAGGACTCTCCATGTGTAAATAAAGGGTGATTTGGTGATGGCTCTGTGGAGCTATTTCACCCTCCATTGCCTGAAAACAGCAGTGCTCAGATCCAATGTAAGGCACCAGTTGGAGGATGCGCAGGGGTACAGTGGGATCTCATCTGTGTGTACCTCTGCTCAGGTGCAATTTCACTGGTGGGGATAAAGACAGAATGAGAATGGAAGGAGAGAGATGAGAAGGTGGGAGGGGAGAAAGAAAGCAAGAGAGAGAAAGAAAGCAAGAAAGCAAGAGAGAGAAAGAAAGCAAGAAAGCAAGAGAGAGAAAGAAAGCAAGAAAGCAAGAGAGAGAAAGAAAGCAAGAAAACAATGGAGGGTTATTTAGATCAAAGCAAGCAAAAATTGAATTATAGAACAACCAAGATTTTCTACAGTTTTAACGAATTAAAGAGCCATGTAGGACTGTTAAGAGGAGGAAATTCTTCATTCAGAGGGCTGTGAATCCTGGTCAGTCTCTACTGCAGAGGGCTATGGAAATTCAATCATTGAACATGTTCAAGACAAAAATTAATAAGTTGATAGATCTTAAAGACATCAAGAGGTATGAGATAGTGTGAACTAGTTGATAGTGAACAAGCCATTATTCATGTGCTCGCACGAGTACTCAATCCACCTGTCAGCACCACCCCCAAAAGCCTTTTGATAACAGGAATGGCACTTACCTCTGTCAGAGCATGTAACTGGCCTTCATGAACACAGACACCCATGAATCTGCCAAGAAAGAATCACACACTAATCAGCTCGTGTCACAAACATCTCAGGATGAGATAGTCATCACTGTCTTAACAGCGAGTCTTGGGATTGGCTTCTCAAAGGCTGAAGCATTGGCAGATTAGTCATGAATCCGTCTCTTGCCTCAAGCACAGGCCATAACCTCAACAGTAACATTAATAGACAGATAATACCTAAGAAAAGAGGTCCATAGCTTCATGCGAGACCATCCTAAATTTAACATGTTGTAAACTCCAAATGGGATTTGATTTGAAACAAAATACTCTCTTTTCAATGAACAGTTTGAAGTAGGAACAGAACATTCTTAAATACAAAAAAATTGACAGAGAAGCACCGAGGTTCATCTCTAAAGGGACAGTTGTCAAAAACAAAAGACTGGTATTCAGAACCTTGGTTAAGCATGACTTGGAGTTACTGGGATCAATACCAGTCTTCATGTTATGAAAAAGGATATAGAAGAAAAAGGGAGTTCTTGAGGTGTGTAATAATGTCTCTGAACAGAAAGATTAGAAAAATATCTGCAGTAGCACTGGGGAAAGTGAAAACAACATGTACCCACATCAGATCAGATCAGATCTGAGGAAGGGTCACTGGACCCAAAATGTTAACTGTGATTTTTCTTCACAGATGCTGCCAGACCTGCTGAGCTTTTTCAGTAACTTCTGTTTTTGTTCCTGATCTACAGCATCCACCGTTCTTTCAGTTATGTACACAAATCATTATAATTGCCAGGCAACTACAGCTATCAGAACAACTGAACAGACCGCGTTCTGTTCTCCGGAGAACTGAGAACTGAGGGGAATGACATGATATGAGTCTTTTTAAAAAAAAAAGTTCTTCCATGGGACATTGCCAAGGCCAGCATTTGTTGGCCCTCTCTAACTCCTTTGAACTGAGTGGCTTGTCAGGGTATCATAGATGATATTTAAAAGAGTCACTCACATTGCCGTATGCCAGAGTCATATAAAAACACAGAAAATAGTAACAGAAGTAGGCCTTTCAGCCCTTCGAGTCTGCTCCACCATTCAACATGATCAAGACTGATCATCTAATTCAGTACCCCATTCCCACATTTTCCCCCATATCCTTTGATCCCTTTAGACCTAAGAATTATATCTAATTCCTTCTTTAAAACTTTCAGCATTTTGGCCTGTTTGCAGAGGGTGGTGTTCCCATGTCTCTGCTAGCATGTCCTTCGAGGTGGAAGTGGTCATGGGTTTGGAAGGAGCTGTCTAAGGATCTTTGGTAAATTCCTCAACAGTTGAAGTGAATTATAGAATCTCTACACTGTGGAAGTTGGCCATTCGGCCCATTGAGTCCACACCGACCCTCTAAAGAGCATCCCACCCAGAACCCCCTCCTACCCTATCCCTGTAACCCTGAATTTACCACGGCCATTCTACCCAACTTGCACATCATTGGATTGTGGGAGGAAACCGGAGCACCCGGAGGAAACCCATGCAGACACAGGGAGAATGTGCAAACTCCACCCAGATGATTGCCCAAGGGTGGGTCCCTGGCACAGTGCTAACCCACTGAGCCACCATGCCACCCAATGGTATCAATGCATCTAATGCAAAGGGAGATAAGCTTGAGGAAACCAAAAAAACAGGAAGACAGGGGAATGCTGGTAGATTTTGATGAGGAAAGATGGGAGAAAACTTGGGGGAAGACATAAACACATGGACCACTTTAGGGCAGACCTGATTATCGACAGCAACAGCAGCCCAGCCGCACTTGAGATGAAAAAGAGAGAAAAGAAATTTTAATTGTGGCCATGAGTTGAGTATTGCAGATATGTTTCCTTATCTCCAAAGTTAGGGAGTTAGTATGAGGAACTAGGGAACTGAAAAAATTAAGATAACAAGAGCTGAGTGAAACAGATAGAAACTTCCCTAAATTTAAGTGACATCAGCAGAAGGGAAGTGAGTAGCTTTTCTTTTTTTTAAAGTTTTATTTTTGTATTATTCATTCATAGGACATGGGCATTGCCCCCGCTGGGTCAGCACTTATTGCCTGCCCATAGTTGCCCTTAAGGAGGTGGTGGTGAGCTGCCTTCTTGAACCACTGCAGTCCAAGTGCTGTTGGTGGATCTAGGGTTACTGATAGGCCTGCTCTCTCATGAGAGAGAGAGAGAGAGAGAGAGACAACTAGAGAGTTTAACCTGAAGTCATCACACCTCATTTGAGGGGACAGGTTGAGACCTTTGTGGTAACCTCTGCTAGTGCGGGAATTGAACCAATGCTGTTGGCATCATTCGATTTATTGGTCTTTAGCCCATTAGTTTCATTAGTATATTTTTCTCTGGTCATATTGTATTTAGTTTCTCTTCTTTTATCCCCTTGATTATTGAGAACTTTTGGAAAACTATTAGTGTCTTCAACTGTGAAGTCTGATACAAAGTGTTTATTCAACTCCTCTGCTATTTTCTGGTTTCCTGTTATTTCCCCAGCCTCATTTTCTATGTTAATTTGGCTTCTCTCTTCCTTTCCATATATTTAAGGAAGCACTTGATGTCCATCTTGATATTACTTGCAAGTTTATTCTTAAAGTTTATCTTCCTCTTTATTATATTTTTGATCATGGTTTTGTTGGCATTTAAAACTTCTCTGGTTTACCATTAGCTTTTGCCACATTGTATATTTTTTCTGTCAATTTGACGTTATCCTCAACTTCCCTGATTAACCATGATTGGCTTATCTCCTTCCTAGAATCCTTCTTTCTCACTGGAATATTGTCTTTGTTGTGAGCCATGAACTTAAAAACCATTGTACCTCAACCATCTTTGCTGCTAAAGTCCTTTCCCAGTTCAATCCAGTCAGTTCTGCCGTCATCCCTATGTAACTACTCTTTTATAAGCATAGTTGTTTCCAACACAAGTTCCTCCCTCTCAAATGGAATGCCAAATTCTATCACGTTATGGTCACTGTTTCCAGGGTATCTTTTACTCTAACATCATTTATCAAACCTGTCTCATTGCACATCACCAGATCCAAAATAGCCTGATCCCTGGTTGGATCCAAGTATTAGTTCTCAGAAACTGTCCCAAATGTACTTCATGAATTCTTCCTCACGGCTTCCTCTGCCAATTTGACTGTCCAATCTATATGAAGATTAATGTCACCCATGATAAATGCTGCCTTTTTTACATGCCCTTATAACCTTCTGATTGATTCTCTGTTTAACCAGATAGATACTATGGACTACTCTCACCATTTTTTTTTGCTGTAGTTATTTCTTACTTTCACCAATATGGATTATACATCTTCCAATCCAAGATCATTTCTTGAGATCACACTTGTTCAATCCCGTACTAACAAAGCTGCCTCCCCGTTCTGCCTATCCTTTCAAAAAGTTGACAATAGCAGCAGCATATCCCATCTACAAGACACATTACAGAAATTCACCAAGTCTCCTCCAGACAGCACTTTCCAAACCCATGACCACTTCCACCTAGAAAGACAAGGGTACTAGATACATGGGAGCACTGCTACCTGCAAGTTCCCCTCCAAGCCACACATTGTTCTGACTTGGAAATATATCGCCATTCCTTCAGTGTTGCTGGGTCAATTCCTGTCCCCAAGAGCATGAGCCTGGGCCCCTGGATTTCTAGTTCAGTGACATTACAACTATGCCATTGTGTCCCCTATGCATATTTTTTCCATTGAATAGTTGAGGATGTCAGAATGGTCCTGTCACAGATAACGGTCATTTGTATGATCTTACCAACTCTCTGCAAGAGAAACTCATCTAGTCCCATCCTCCAGCTTCACCTCGTAGACCTACAAAATCTCTCTACAGGTAACTATCAAATTTTTCAGAATTGAAGATCTCAGTTGAATCAGTCTCAGGCAGCGGATTCCAAATTCTAACTTCTGAGCATGTTTTAAAAAAAAGCCTTTTCCAGCATTCCAATGTAGGAAAATCAGCTGTGCACAGTAAGTTCCCACAACCAGCAATGTGGCAATGAACAGAAACCCTGCTTTTCTTTTGTGATCTTGATGGAGGGATAAATGTGGGCCAGGAGACAAGGACACCTCCCCTGCTCTTCTGTGAAAATACTGAATTGGTCCTTTCATGCAGCAGCAGGACTGTTGCAGTTGAACAGGGCTTTGGTGAGGCCACACCTGGAATATTGTGTGCAGTTCTGGCGTCCTCTTCTGAGGAAGGATGCTCTTGCTCTTGAGAGAGTGCAGCAAAGGTTTATCAGGCTGATTCCAGGGATGGCAGGTCTGACGTATGAGGAGAGATTGACTAGGTTGGGATTGTTTTTGCTAGAGTTCAGACAAATGAGGGGGGGGGTGATCTCATACAGACTTGTAAAATTCTAACAGGACTAGACAGGGTAGGTGCAGGGACGGTGTTCCCAATGGTGGGTGTGTCCAGAGCCAGGGGTCACAGTATGAGAATTTGGGGTAGATGATTTAGGATGAGGATGAGGATGAGGATGAGGAGACATTCCTTCATTCAAAGAGTGGGGAGCCTGTGGAATTCATTGCCACAGGAAGTAGTTGATGCCAAAACATTGAATGTATTCCAAAGGCGACTACATACAGCACTTGGGGGCAAATGGGATCAAAAAGGTTATGGGGAGAAAGCAGGATTAGGCTATTGAGTTGGACAATCAGTCATGATAGTGAAGAATGGTGGAGCAGGCTTGAAGGGCCAAATGGCCTCTTCCTGCTCCTGTTTTCCATGTTTCTAAGATACATGAAGAGAGACTGGATTGGTTAGGACTACATTCACATTCACTGGAGTTTACAACAATGACAGTTGGGGGGTGATAAGATTCTTGAGTAGATTTGTAGCTCGGGTTGTGGATGCTGTGGTTGGTTCACTCGCCAAGCTGGTTCATTAGTTCGCAGATGTTTCGTTACCATGCTGGGTAACATCATCAGTGCAGCCTCCAAATGATGCGCTGTTGTGTTTTCCCGCCAGATATTTAATCTCTGGGATCATTGGATTTGATTACCTCATTT